AAATTATTCGTAAAAAATGCTTTTTCCAAATATGCTAATGAGCCACCCTTGTTCTCTTTGAAAAAATTGAGATATAATTAAAAATACGATTAGGTCATCTTTTAACCGGCCAGAACAAAACACAAAAAACATTAGACGATCAAATCTATTTTTCCAAGACGCACTGATTAAAAATTAGTGTTTTTAACACAGCCTTGGCTCTCTAGATTGCAATTTAAAATACGATTTTTTTTAATCAAAAATGTCAGAAGTTGACATATGATATGTCATTATATTCAGAGTGTCATTTCCCATCAAATAAAGTAAAAAAATATTACAAGTGTGCAATTTAAAAATCAATAGTGGTAGCTGGTTTTGGTGAAACAGGAAGTGACCAAAAACAATTGAATACGTCAATCAATCCTAATTTATTTCATATACTAACATACCAAATCTCGTTTTTTTATCTGAAAAAATAAAAAAGTTAGGTTAGGTTTACGAAAAATTTCTAATTAAAGCCTAGTTCATGCACTTGCAAATTACGATTTGCGAATTGCGAAATGCGTTCTGTTTGCCTTGCAATTGGTCCCTTTCAAGGTCTCTCCCTTCAATGCGACCAATCACAACGCAAACAGAACGTATTTCGCAATTCGTAAATTCGCAAGTGCCTGAACTTAAGGAGCCTTGAAAAAATATATTTGATCGTCTATTGTTTTTCGTTTCTTGCCCTGGCCGGTTAAAAAATGCCCAAATCATATTTTTAATTAAATCATTAATTATTTTTTCCAAATAGAACAATGGTCGCTCATTAGAGTATTTGGAAAAAGCATATTTTTATGATTAATTTGGTACCGAACACTTGGCATTTCGAGTCAAATGATCGTTATTAACCGCAGGTTACAATTTCAAACCAAATGTCCAAATCTGAAATGTGGTATGTGTGAAGCTTTTTAGGTACTACCAAAAAGGGAGCTAAGTCAAATTATAAAAACATTCTTCTTATAGTTTTCTAAGTCGTCAAATTGGTCATTTATATCTTAAATTTTATCCCACCGAGACCGTGCTGACACACAGAATTATTAAACAGAACACCTCCCATCTCTAACAAGCGTTATACAAGTATACAAGTATGCAGCAAGGTAATTTAACGCGATAGTTCGCATTATCAGGAAATTAATTCTGAAATTAATTACTTAATCGAACAAGTTGTGGTGACAGCATGTTAATGATTATCCCTGGAGGAGGTATTCTCTAACTTTATATTGGAGGTATTTCTGCTCCTAATAATAATTTCCAGATATACATATTAAATAAATTAGAATAATTTATTTAATATTTACATTAAGAAAATATAATGACAGCGTCAAGTGGGGATACAGCAAAACTGCATAATACTGTAATTTCTTTTGGCTATGGTGTTAACTGAAGGAATGAACCAATTCGAAGTTTGTCCGCTAGAGGGCATTTACTTTAAAAAAATAAGCACATATTTTAAGATATTTAAGAACAGTTATTCCGATTTTGAATGATAATTTGGGTGACAATGTTTTTCTAAGTGCTTTAATATTTGACTTTCACAAAAATCAAGAAAAAGTACGGGAAAGGTAAAAACTACCCCCCCACCTACATAAATTTTAGTGTAAATACATAAAAAACTTCACCGACGACAAATTTTCTTTTGTAAAACGGTCCCTCTTGTATTTACTACATTTTTTGTTTCTTGTAAAAAACCCACATCGCATGGGTTTTGACAAAAAAAATTTGGAGAATTTATTTTTCCAAAGCAGACCTTTATTCAAAATAACTAACCTAACGTAACCTAACCCAAGCAGATATTTTGTAGGTCAAAATATACAGGGAGAAATATAAAAAATACATAACAAATAATATATAACAATAAACATATAAAACTTTCTATGTTTAAAGTTAGTTGAATTAAATTTAGTATTAATATCAGTATCAGACTAACTTTATTAAGAGAACTATGTATTTATTTGGGATAAAATAAATTTCATTGTTGGAGAGAATAGAGAATAAATAGATATATTTCAAACAAAACAAACAAACTCATCTGATACGAAGTTAGTGTTGTTTAAAGTTATAATTTATTGTATTAAAACTGAATACAGATTTAGTTATATTTCTTTTCTTCTGAAGACAAGGTAAGAAATTCGCGGAAGTTTTTCTCTACTAACTTCAAGTCTATGACGAATCATTTTTAGATTAAATAATATTAACGAAATAATGATAATGTTTAAATTAGTTTTTTCTTAAGAAGGGGCATTATATTTATGGGTTCACGTCTCGGTTAACGTGCACATGTATATTTATTAAGGAACCATCACTGTGTTTATATTAAATAATTTATTTTAATCTTCACTGAAACAAAACATAGAAATCCACATACAAACAAAGCTATACCCGGCGAATATACACGGAAAACATCAAAGCGAAAAATATATCATCACCGGACTAGAGATGGGCGGTTATTGGTAAAAAACCGGTTATAGGTTAACCGGAATTATCTTTAAAAAATAATAACTTGACAAAATTAACCGACACAAATTAACTGGTTATTCAAATAACCTAACCTAGCAAAACCAAATATTTAGTTTTTTCCTATAGGTTTACTTACCTCTACACACCATAGGTCTACTTCAAATTTAGATAATAAACTTAGTTAAATCGCATGATTAAATAGAGATTGTAGCAATGTAAGTATGTATATGTACAAAATGAATTTAAATAAAAATGCTAACCTCACTTTTTTGAGTAGACATGGATATGATATTAAAACTAGTAATTACTTAACATTCAAATAAACCACACAACTCACAAGTTCTACAATCTACAACCAAGTTATTTTAATCAAATACCAAAGAAAAAATAAAAAGAGATTAAAATGAATAAATAATGAAAGATTTCTTCATTCATTACTTGAACTTCAATTTTGTATTCTTAGTCTAAGCTTCAAGAGAGACTTCAAACTACAAATAAAATATATTTACGGTGAAACGTGGGTGAAACTGGGCGAAACCATGGAAAACTTTTGAAGAACCGTTGAAAATCCGTTAAAGTTGGTTAACATTTAAATATAGAATTTAGAGAATCTATTTGAAGTTAGGTTCGTATCACTTGGCTAGCTGGTGGCTAGTAGTAGTCTATGGCATTAGTACTTTGTTTTACGGCCTGACCAGTCAGGGCCATTCGGCCGTTGTTTTGATTATTATCAGGGTTCGCCTGATGCCTGATTTAATTTTGACATTTGATGTTTGATGTCATATATTTTCGTTTTGGGAGCGGGAGCGGGATCTCCCGTTATCGTCAAAATATCGGGAAGATCCGTGCCGTTCGCTTCTTGGAAATTTACGATTCTAAACAGCTAATATTTAATTGTTACTTGTTTTAAACAAGTACGATTTTTTTAAAAATAACCGGCTATAGGTTATTGAACGTAATGCAAGGTTATTAGGTTAACTGGTGAAAAAAAAACTACCTTTAAATAACCGGTTATTTTAGAGGAAAATACCGGTTATTCAAAAAACCGGTTACTTTTGCCCATCTCTACACCGGACTTTCCATAATTCGGTCGTGCTTTATACACAGGCGACGTTTCAACACAAACAGAAACTCGTGACGAAACTTCAGAGGCTAAAATACCTTCGGAACGGTAGAGCGTGCCCCAGAATTGGTTCGGCATATATATTTTAGCTTATTTTCTACTTTGCTACAATATCCAATGCGGATAATGTTATAATTCCACTTACTGAACTACACAAACTTTCTACAGTAGATATTAATCAGTACGTTCCAGATTCTAAATCCCAAGATATGTAATACTGATAATTAAACGCATTCACTATTATATAGGGTTGGGGACATATTTTCTCTTTACCGTTTTTGAAATCCAAAACAACCAAACTATTTTACTTTAAAAATTAGCAAAAAAAATTTTTTTTGCTTAAATTTTGAGAAAAAAATTAAAAAAATTAATAATAATAATTAATAATAATTAATTAATAATTATTTAATAATTCAAATCTATTTGAAGTTAGGTTATTAGGTTATTTAGGTTTGATCTTTCTGTGTTTTTTTTCGTGTAAATTTAATCTACTACCTGTGTTGCCATATTATCAAGAAATTATGTTTTTTAACTAAAAAATTAAAAAAAAATCAAAAAATTTCAAATAAATTAATTAATTTCTATATACAGGGTGCTACAAATTCGAGGTACGAGCATTGGTATTTCGGAAAAAGTAATAGATACGAAGATGGTTAAATTGGGGCAAAGTTGCGCCTAGGGCTGTTCACCAAGATGCCATCAAAAAAGTTTTAAAAATTTCAAGGATTGCTCAGTTTTTTGAGAAAAAAAACGGATTTTTT